CGTGCGGGGAAGGGTGCGTATACACATGGGCTACAGGTCATATATACACTGTGCATATATATATATATATATATATATACAGCATATATATATATCTTTTTACATTCATATATATATTGTACAGAACATTAACCTTCTACCAAAAACAGTTTTGTGACTTCACATATGGCCTTAGCTCTGAAATTCTAACTCCGGGGCAAATCCAGGATTGAAAAATGAGAGCTCGATTCAAACTGGCATGGGGACTCGGGGCAGGGCCCTTCTACCGTGGCAAGCAGCAGGGCCCCTTCCAGCTGTGTCCGTCCCGTTGGGGAGACTGTTCCAGATGTGTCTGCTCAAGACCTGTCGACAGAATTGAGCTCATTCCTTGCATCTGTCCACGGGGCTGGGCCCATCCCAGATGTTTAAGTCCATCCAGCTGTTTGTCCAGATCACAAGGCCCCTCCAGATGGCTGTCCACACCAGACCAGTCCAGACATGGGCCAGAGTTTGGCCAGTTTCCAGCTGTTTGTGCAGATAGCTGAGAATGGCTTGGGAAGGGCCCGGCTTCATGCCTAGGGATGAAGCAGCCGCTTGCGGACGTCCACAGCGCAGCCCTGGGAAAGGCAGGGAGGGAGCCTCTGTTCTCAGCGAGCGCCGGCCCGGCTCTTCTCACCACGTGGAAACTTCGTCCAGCCCCGCCAGCCCCCTCCCCCATCCTGGGCCATCACTTCTGTCTGCAAGTGCATTGGGGAGGGGGACAGGATGTGCTCTTCTAGTTGGGGCAGTCTTGGCTGGGCAGTGGGTGGGGGAGGCCCTCCAACCCTTCAAAGATTCAGAGTCAGCTCATCCGCCACGAGAGCATGATTCCTCTTGAAAGACACTTGCAGAGTGGGGCCACCTGAGTGGTGACCAAGCGGTCAGGGTTTTCTCATCTGTCCATAGCAGAGAGACCAGTAAGAGGTCAAGGGGAGAGAGAGGAGGAGGAGGGTTCATTGTCCGAAAGCCCCAGGGCCCTGGTGACTGGCGGGGTGTGTGTGTGTGTGGGGGGGTCTGCTCACTGCTGCCCCTCAGTTTGGCCAGTCTTAGCTGGCTGAGAGGAGGCACTGGCATTTCGGGTGGGAGCTGAGGGTGGGAGGTGGGGGCAATCTTGTTAAGGGCAGGCATGTGGGGCCTGACAAGGACAGTCCAGCACCTGCTGGGGCAAGTCCCGTCTTCTGTCCTATTGAAACCAGCTCTGACGCTTCCACAGCCAACCTCGGTGCTGCCGTGCGTGGACGTGCCCCTCGCACCCTCTGCAGTGCACGTGCGCACCTGCTGCCACGGTTGACTTTGCCTTTCATTCCTCTTGATCCGCCTCGACGCAAACACCTTCTCCCCTCCCCACTCCGGCTGGCATAGTAGTACCAGCTAGCACCTTCGGAACCCGGGGAGAGACACGGCTGCCACTTGGGCAGAAGCAGTCCCCACTGCGTTTTGAACACTGGGCTGGTCTCGAAGGCAAACCAAGGACACCAGCCAGAGTTTGAACATGAGTCACACACACAGACATAAGGCTTGAGTGGCGGGGGGAGTCGGGCAACATGTCACCCCACCTTCACTTACAAGTCTAAAAATCATTTTAGTACCTTTTGGGGGATTTCCCTAATTGAACTGTGCCTCCAGTAGCCACTATTCTTCATTCCGCTGATGAAACATCTTCCCAAACCCACGCCGCTTCTTTCTTCCCCCATCAGCCTGTGTTCGTGTGCAGCCTCAGAAGAACACGACTCGCTCATGGAGCATCGTACACAAAAGCCCACTGTCTCGCCAAATCCTTGTGACAAATGATCTCTCCCTACCAACAGAAGTGCAAACAGACCCTGATTCCCTGCCTTCCTGATTGTCCATTTCTGCTCCTGCTGTGAGCTGGAACACATGGGTGAGTTTGCACACCCATGTGTGAGCATGCCTCCTCCCAAGAAATTCCAGGGCCACATGGCTCCTTGCACACATGCACTGATCTGTACCGCACAGCTCTCTGGTTCTGTCCTCCGTCCTGCTCTCCGCTGCAAACGCACGCCCCCACACACAGGTGCACACGTGCTCACACGGGGACCCCTCAATGACATGGCTTCTCCTCTTAAACATTTGGCAACACTGCGGGTTTTATCCTGTTCTCCACCCTCTGCCATGGGTGCAAAATGTACCCCCATGTGTGCGTGCACACACAGGCACACATAAGCATACACACTCGTGCATGCGTGTATACATGTATATACTGCCCAGGACCCCAGTAAGACATGGCTTCTCCTGTTTTTACATGTATGGGGCTCTGCTGCTTGTCCAGATTAGTCTCCCTCATCCCAAATTCACACACGTGTGCACACACACGTCAGAACCTGAAGGGTTCTACTATTGCATGTCCTGGACTCTGTTTGATGTCCAAATCTGTCCCTCAGCCCCAGCCCTAGGGCTCACACACACACAGATACACATATATGCGTGCACACACGCACTCCCACACACGAGCTCACGACAGCATGGCTTCTCCCGTCATTACGTGTGCTGGCGATGCTGTGCGTCCAGCTCCCTTCTCCCACCTACCCAGCACACAGCCTGTTGGAGCTGCTGGGAGAGTGGGAACCAGCTGGTTTGGTCCTGCAGCTCACAGTTTGGAGGAGGAACGGTATTTATCACATGAGCCCACTGCGCTCTCCTGCTTTGGGAGTCCCTGGGGGGAGCTAAAGATTATCCTTCACCCCAGCTGAGAAGGTCCTTGAGATCTAAATGTAGCTCTTCCTTAACCAGACTCCCCAGGCAGAAACAGGAGAGAGGGGGGAGGGGGATAATAGTGTCTTCTGGGTCCCCATCCGGAATCTCCAGCCTTCCCTCCCCTGTTCCGAGACTGCCTTTCACCCTTAGCAATGGGAAGCTTTGCTGGTCCCGTCGTAGTCTCTTTAAGGACACTTTGCTCCTAAACCTTCCATGTCTCATTCTTTTTCCAGAATCTTAAAGTCACAGACTTCTAGAGCATCCATCCTACCTAGCTGGAACCCACAAGTCATCTGGTCTGGCCCTCACTGGTACCCCATCTGCTACTATTTCTTTGCTATACCCCCAAGCCCCACTAGGTCCAAGCTGCTCTGGACAAGAGATCGGGGCCTAGATGGCCTGTCTCTCTATGTGGGGTCTTTGGTTAATTCTCCAGGAGGCAGCTTTTCTTTCCCCACCCTTGGGGCCTCTATGAGCTCTGATACCCTGTCCCTGAACACTTTCCTTTCTGGGGAGCATCTTTAGGTTTGGCAAGTTCAGGAGGCCAAGAGTTCTTGAGGGCCTTCCTGGCCTTCCCCATCGACCCCAAAGTTAGCCTGTGCCATAAGACCTGTATCCCTCTTTTGGGGGGGGGGTCAGGACTTTCACTTCAATCTAGGCTTCTCTTCTCCTTCCAAGGTGACAGAAGGAGGTCAAGGTCAACTGGCCAGGAATGGGGAGTTGCTGATGAGTAGATGGCAAAGAGCCCAAGCTCTCAAATGCCACTAGGGTTTAGAAAACAGCTCATTAACCAGCAAAATAAGACCCAATGGCTCAAGGGCCTATGGGATTTCCATGGAATCCACTGTTCCTCTGGCTTCAAATATCGGCTGAATCTCTGGTCACCCTTTCTGAGAGATTCAGGGGGTCCTCTATCTTCTGGCCAGAAAGTAGAAAATTTGCTCTGACCACTCCTCCACTTTATACTCCTGGAGACCTCCTTGAGGAATGGGAACAACTGGGACATCGTCCATAAGAATTCAAAATGGCGGCCTTTGTGCATTTTCCTCTCTCCCATACCCCAAACTCCTCTTTTCTTCTATGGGGCTCTCTGCCTTCAACTTTGCCAAGATGGAGGCTGCCATACATGGTGCCAAGTCCAAGAGACCAAGACTATGTGAGCAGCCCCTAAGGGATGAAGTCTTCCTTCTGCCCAAGACATGTGGGGCGGCCATCCCCCATCTTCAGCTCCCATTGGTAGCCACACTACAATCCTTAAGGTGCCCAAGGTTTGTGTCTCTGGTCTCACGGTCATGGCCCAGGAGGCCTGGGCTCATGGGGGAAGGAGAGGCAACATACGAGCTGTTTCCCATTTTCTTTGGCCTCAGCAAGGCCGTGGTAGGAACTTCTGACTGTCAAGGAGAGTTGAGGGGCAGGTGAGTTTGGCCTGAGAGAGGCATGTGCTTCCTTTGGCCTTGGCTGTCTCGGCTGGCAGCTTTAGAAACCCACAGAAGAAATGAGAGGCGAGTGAGGCCCAAGCAGCTGGCCTAGGGGCCTGCTGTTTCCTGGGAGGTAAGGGCAGAGGGCTCCTGGCTCAGCAGGCAGGCAGCAGCTCTGGCCCCCAAGCCCAGTGTGGGCACAGGGGAGGTGCCTTCCAGTCTCCTTGCTTTCCTCTGCCCTGCCCCCAGGCCTTCGGTCCCCACCCCACCTGTGCCTAGGGGAATACAGGGGCCAATGATGTGCTGCAGGCCATGCTGTCCTTGCCTGGAAGCCGGCGGTCGTTGAACGTGTGCATGTTGATGACAGCGTCAGTCTTGACCATCATGGGAGGCTGCGGCTTGTGCTTGACCCGACGCTGGCAGGTAAGGGAGAAACGGATCTCATCGGCTACCGTGCTGCAGAAGGAACGCTGGGGTGGGGTGGGAGGGCAAGGGGCACATGGGTGAGGCCCGGCCTTGCAACCCCAGCCAGCTCCTCCCCTTCCTCCCAAGGCTGGTGTCAAGGCTGCCTGTCTCGCTCTCACCTTTAGGCCACCCACCCTCTGCCCACTCAAGATGACCAGTTTATGAGGCAGCCTACAGAGCGTTACGTTCTTGTTTGGAGACTAAGGTAGACAGGGCAGGTAGTATCATCCTATCCCCATTTCCCAGATGAGCAAACTGAGGTTCTGATGGGCGTGCACATTAAAGTTTGAGGAGTTTGACCTGCCTGATTTTTCTCCACTAGATTCTGAGGGCAGGAACCAGCCAGTTTCATCCCTGTAAGCCCAGCTCCCAGCACTAGGCCTGGCCCAGGGTCAGGCTTAAGAAACACCTGATGAATGTATGGGTAACCTTTCCCCTGGGAGGGCTTCCCACTACGGGCAGAATCACCACGCTCCCACACGGACAGTCTGGCACGTTTCTCAAGGTGTGCAAGTGGGAGGCAGGTCCCTGCAGGGCAGCTGGGTGGCAGTGGTTTCTGGCCTGGGTCCCTATGCTTTGCCTGCAGGTATCTGACGGCGGGGGCTCCTAGGAGACCCATGGCCAGAGGCTGTCCTGTGGCTTGTCTGGAAGGCAGTGGGGGCTGTTGATGGCTCCATTTGCATGGTGAGGTCCTCACAGGAGCCCCCAGGCAGCTGTGACAAGGCTGTGCGGGGGAGGGGAGGGCACGGAGATTCTCAATTCTGGCTCTGCCTCTTACTCACTTCCCCTTGTCCGCCCACCAAACACAGAATGGCAACCCTCCTCACCTGCAGTTATTCATTCTGAAAATATTTACTAAGGCCCTACTATGTGCCACGCGCTGTTCTAGGTGTCAGGCAAACAGACGTGAAAAAGGCAGGTCCCAGCCCTCAGGGAGATTCTGGTCTATGATGTGATAGAGACAAGTAATAAACATGCAAACAAATAAATCACTTCGGAGCACGGTAAGTGTTGTTAAGAGAACAAAGCAGTGGAATGAGATAGAGGGGCATCGGGGGTGGGGCCAGGTGGGGAAGGGTCCTTGAGAGGTGGCATTTCATCTGAAACCTGAATGACCAGAACATGCCAATAATATGGTGCTCGGGGTGGGGGTGGGGGTGGGTGGGAAGAGCATTGCAGGTACATGGAACAGCATATGCAAAAGGCCTGGGGCTAAAAGGTGTTTGGTGCGTTAAGGACTAAAGAGGAGGCCAGTGTGTGTGGAGGAGAGTGAGGGAGGGGAACGTGGGAAGGAGAAAGTCAGACAAGTGGGCTAGGACCAGATCTTGTTGTTGGCTTTTCAGTGGATTGTGGAGCTCATTCCAATTGTAATGGGAATTCCTAAAGAATTTGGTTGTTCTTTTTTAATGTATTGTAATTTTTTTTAGCCCTTCTTTATTATTGGACATTGAGGGGGATATTCCCCTCCATTTTTCATGTGCTAATTAACACTTCATTGAATATCCTTGTAAATAAAACTGGCCACTTCCATTGGGTGCATTTCTAAAAGTAGAAATTCACTGTCAAAATGTGTGGCCACTTTTAAGACTGTCCACACTGCAAAGCTGCTTTCCAGAAACGTACGCATGGACTGCTCCCAGCAAGACTGGAGCATGTCCCTTTCCTCATGCCCATAAGAACTGTGACACAAGAATGATCTTTCCCCTTCCTCTTTGCTGACTCTGGCTTACCGATTATAAAGGACCCCATTTCATTTCTGATGGATGTAAAAAGTACCTGTTTTGAATGTTCCCCTCCATATAGGACATACCTACAATCTCCTTCCACACTGGCCCTGTGTCCCTTTGAACCTCCCTGTGAGAGGCGCCTCCCCCCAGCCCAGAGGCCCTCAACCCACATGCTCATTGATTTTTTTAAATTTTCATTTTTTAAATGATTTTATTTATTCATTTGACAGACAGAGAGAGAGAGAGCACAAGCAGGGGGAGTGGGAGGCAGAGGGAGAGGGAGAAGCAGGCTTCCCGCTGAGCAGGGAACCCGACGCAGGGCTCGATCCCAGGACCCCAGGATCATGACCTGAGCCGAAGGCAGACGCTTAACCGACTGAGCCACCCAGGCGCCCTCACGTGCACATTTAAATCACCCTGTAAGTACACTTTCTTAAGACACCAATGCCAGGCTCTGCCACAGACCAATTAAAACAGTCTCTGGGAGTGAGGCCAGGGCATCAGCACTTAAAAAACTCTCTCCTTGTGATTCTAATTTGCTACCAGGACCCAGAACCACTGCTCAACCACACTTGAATTAATCAGATGGGTTGAGCAGAGTTCTACTGCCTGGATGCTTGGGCCAGACCTCTTAACATTCCTTTCTTTTTTAAACTTTTGATTATGGAAATTTCCAACTATATGCAGAAGTAGAGAGAGCAGTATAATGAAGTCCCATGTAACCATCACCCAGCTTCAACAATTACCCTGGAGGGTTTTCTGCAGGGGAATGACATGGTTTGAATGAAGTGTTAAATAGGGCCCTGGCTGTGTTTGGAGAGCGGATGGGAGAGACGAGGCAGGAAGGCCAGAGTGGAGGCTTTTGCATGGGCCAGCTGGAGAGGAGGGGGCTTGGCCTGGCCTGGAGCCACAGTGGTGGGGATGTGTGCTCAGAGTCAGAGCAGAGGTGGGGCTGGCAAGCCTCCTGCTGGAGCCAAGGCAGGGCTGGCTCAGACACCATGCGTGCCTGGGAGGTGTGAACCCGGCTCACACCCTGTGCTCCCCACTCCCTCCTTTCCCCATGCGGGCCCCGGTTCTTGAGGCTTACCTGCTCTCGCTCTGCTGTTTTACGGAGCTTGTACACAAACTCGCCCACAGCCACCAGCACGGACAGGACCAGCCCGGCGGCCAGGACGATGAAGATGCCCCCGATCTTCTGGATACCCAGGGCGCTGGCCTCTTTGTTCTCCTCCTCGGGACACCCGTTGCCTCTCCACCACTTCTCCTTCATGATGTGCAGCTTGTCCTCCTCCTGCAGCTGCAGGATGGCGATGGTGATCTTGTCCCGGTACGGGGAGCCTGAGTGGGGGAGCGGGGAGCGGGCTGGCAGGGGCACTCAGTCCCTGTGCATGTGCCCCTGTCAGCACCCTGGACAGCGCCGGCCACCATCACTAGCCTCTCCATAAGCTCCTAAAGGCCCCTCTTGGAATCTTTCTATGGTGTCTGGGTGGGAGCAAGGTCCTGATTGGGGGTGGGAGTCTTGCCAAGGAGTCCCTGTCTCCGTCGGCCCCTGGCAGGCCCCATGTATCAGGGCTGCATCGACGGGTGAGGTCAGAGAGAGCAGGCATGACCTCTGAACCGACCCCCTACCTCGGTGCTGGCCCCAGCTCTCCTCTGCTTAGGCCGAGGCTGACCTCGCAAGGTTGTGACTCTACTGCTTTGTCTCTGGGTTGAAGAGATGACACCTTTTGAGGCTCAATGGGATGAGCTGGGAGAGGGAGCAGGAGATGGGGTGCATGAGTAGCTGTGGGGGCCCCAGTCATCCTCTGTCCCCCCAACCCTCTCACCCGCCTGCAGCCCCTTGCTCACCCATGGGCGTGCCAATGCCGTAGCCCTTGGAGTCGATGAGGCCCCCGATCTGGGTAAGGTTGCAGTTCCTCTGGGTGACGTACTCGATGGTCGTGGACTCCATGAGCAGTGCATAGTCTGCCGTCAGGGTCCTCTGGATGCCCTCCTCGTTGTTCTTCACCAGCGCTGATGGCTTGCTGCTCATGAAGGCCCACATTTTCTCAAAGGTGGAGATCTTGGATTTCTGGGCCACGATGGGAGGGGTGATGCACACAGTTACTGAGCACATCAGGGGCCAAGCACCCCGCACCCCACTTAACAGGGCTCTGGTCCCTGAACTCTGTCTAAAACCCTCTGATGGGAGGGAAGGCCACCCCTTGCTCAGCTGTGGAAACTGAGGCCCTGGGAGGGGAGGTCTCAAAACACACAGTTGGTAAGGGATGAAGCCAGGATTCAGACTCAGGCCCACTTACCTAGAAACCCCTAGCTCTTTGCCATGGCACGGTGGTTTTCAGACTGGTTTTTTAAAAAATGCATTTTCTTTCTCTAACCTTTAATAAAGGTTCCCATGTGCCGGCCCTGTTCTAAGAGCTTTATCTGCATTAACTCACTGATTCTTCACAACAATCATAGGACCCTTAGCTCCATTTTACAGAAACTGAAGCCATGGCTAAGTCACTTGCCCAAGGTTACTCAGACACTAAGTAGCAAAGTTAAGCTTCCAACCCAGGCCATCTGGCTCTAGAGCCCATGTTCCCAACCACTTAGCTGTCACTGCCTCACAGAAAAATCTGTGAAGATAGAGAGGGAGAGGTGGCTGCCAATGAAGGCAAAGCTTGGTGGGTTCTGGGCCCCCGCTCCCACTTCAACCAAAGGGGGCCCCTCCTGTGTACTGTGTTCCAAGGGAAGGCAAGGGTTTCTGTCTATTGGACTTCATTAAGGAGCGGAGTGAGAAGGGGGGCCTGTCAGAGCACGTGGTCGGCAGGCCCCTTATCTCCTTACTGTGACTGTCCCCAAAGCATTCCAGGCTGGACGCTGATGGATGAGCAGAACTAGCATCCCTAAGATGAGGTCCAGGGGGTGGGCTGCTGGGCTTGTCCTGCTTGGCTGGGGAGATTCAGAGAAGGTGCTGGGGCCAGGAGAGGGGCCCGAGGTTGAATGTCCCCTGCTGCCTGAGGAGAATGGGCAGATCAGGGTGCATGGCATTCATGAGATTTCTCGGGAGATGATAGCCAGCCAGCTACCTGCTCCCAGCAGGGAATGGCCCTGCCCCCACAGATCCCAGGGGAGCAGGTGGCTCTGCCGGCCCCATTGTACCCGGCTGCTTCCAAGTCTAGCTGTGCCTGTCTGTGATGTCAGCCTGTCTGATTGGCACCCGGCCCAGCTCCGGTGTGCGTGACAGGCTGGTGCAGGGCTGGGGGATGGGTAGGGGATGGGGAAAGAAGCTGTGTCTGCTGGGAGTCCAGGCGGCAGGGGCAGTGGCTGGGAGGAAAGTGTATCTACTATTCTCCAGGGGCTTTCCAGCTCTGGTGAGGGCTATCCTCTCTAAAACTGGCTCCTGGAGACCCAAGCATGCCTGGGAGAGCAGGGAGCCCTGAAGCAGCAGGCAAGACCCCACTTGGAATTTTATCAGAACCCAGAATCCATCAAGGGCCAGTGATGCCTCCTCTGGGCCTGGGGGCACCTTCACAGACAAGCAGCTATTGTCCCACCTGCAAATTTATCTGCCTCAAAGCCGAAGGCCTGGAAGGGCTCAGATGCTTCTAGCTCCTCCTGTCCTCAGCCATCCTACTTTCTGCCAGGCCTGTGTGCAATTAACTACTCTACCACCGGTTACTCTCGCCTCTTGAGCGCTTACCTTCAAACCTGTGCTCGCCAGCTACTCTCTCTTGCCAGCTACTCTTCCCCAACCCAGCTCCTCCTCTGGCCCCAGACACACTCCCCTACTAGCTACTCCTGCCCTTAAAAACATTCCTGATTTCCAGCTTTTCTGACTCCTCAGACATAATTTCGGATGTCCAGACTCTCCTTCTCTGGCTCCTTTTGTCCCTGAGGGCCTTTCTCACTCTGTGACTGTTCCTGCCCAGATGCACTGTGGTAGGAAGCTTCTGTCCAAGCTTCTATGCCGCTCCAATGATCCCTGTCCCTGGTACTCCTGCCCTTGTGTAATCCCCTCCCCTTGCGTGTGGGCTGGACTAGCGACTTGGTTTTAACTGCCCCTTAGGAGCGATCGGATGTCACTTCTGAGATTAGGTTACAGGAGTCTGACGCTCTTGCTTGCACTCTCTCTGGCTCCTCTCCCCAGCTGCTCTGATGACAGCCGGCTGCGTGCTGTGAGTCGCCCCGTGGAGAGGCCCGCGTGGCCAAGAACAGAGGGCAGCCTCCAGCCAACAAGGAGCAGAGAACTGAAGCCCTCAGTCCGACAATGCAGGAGGACCTGAACACCGCCAACAACCACGTGCGCGAGCTTGGAAGCAGAGCCTTGAGATGGCTACAGCCTTAGCCAATACCTTGACTGCAGCCTGTCCCGGACCCCGTGCAGAGGGCGCAGCTAAGCTGTGCTGCTTCCTGACCCAGTCAGGGAGATCATAATGCTGTTGCCTTAAGACGCTAAGTTCCAGGTAATCTGCTCTCGGAACCACGTACACACACAAGCTACTGCTGTGCCCCAAATCATTGTTTTTTCAGATAATCGATTCCAATGATTCCTCTAATCAGATCATCCAAGTCCAGTCTTCCCTGGGGCCAGGGATGCATGCTCCTCAGATACTCGGCCCCCATGGTCACTATAACTAAGTACTATTGCCCCATCAGTGGCTCCAGCACCTCAGCTCTTTTCCATCCCAGTCTCTCCTGCCTTCCAAATTCTCCAATGGGAACTGGGGGTTGATGAGATCATCAGGGCTCCCCTTAGGTCTCCTAATGCATGCATCATACAGCCATCCATCCATCCATCCAACCAGACTCTCCTCTGGCTCCTTGTATCCCTCAGGGCCTTTCTCACTCTGTGACTGTTCCTGCCCAGATTCACTGTGGTAGGAAGCTTCTATCCTGCTCCTGCTTCTATCCAAGCATCCATCCAACCATGCATCCATCCATCTTCTCATTCATTATGTTCATGTTCTCACCCACATACTACTTACACACTAATTCATTCAACTGACCACTCAACTGTCCACCTAGCCTTTTACTTATTTATCCATCCATCCATCCATCCATCCATCCATCCATCCATCCATCCAACCATCCTCTCATTCATCATGTTCATGTTCTCACCCACATACTACCTACACACTACCTCACTCTCCCATGAAGCCAGTCATCCATCAGTAAATCTCAAACACTGGCAAAAGTAACTTGACAATGAACCACTCAGGAAGCCCTGCCCCACTCCTTCTGTCTCAGAAAGGGATGAGAACTCTTCTTTCTGCAAACTCCTCCCTGTATCCTCCCCCAACACCCCATTCTTCCTTTACACAGGCATGTCGAGTAGAAACAGGTTCCGACATTAAAACATAGGTTCGTTCCAGTAATACTCCACGGTAAATGCAGACAGAAATTTCTTTTGAGGGTCAGGGAGCTGTTGAGGCCGATGGGCTTTGAGGAAGACACATAAAAGCCTCCAGTGGGTAAAGGAATGCAGTGAGGGAGATGGAAGAACAGCAGAGAGCTGGGGCCAGTTGAGAGAAGAGAGTGAAGCTGGCTGTGATGCTGATTTCAAGCGGTTCCGCTCTCCCAGCTCCAGTGTCAACAAATTCATACCTCCACCAACTTTAGGCAGGTGGCTCTGAAATCCGCACCCCGAGAATGGCCACCGACTATGCTTACTCTGTGTCTTGGGGCTCCCATGCTCAACCACATCCACTCATGGTCTCTGCTTCCCTTTAAGTTCCCTCCTGTCTTCTAGATGCTGTGATTCCAGGACACATCCCTGAAAAGTTCCCCTCTAGCAGCGTGGGGCTGAGGCAGGGAGGGATATAGCCGGGGCCCCTCCCGGAGCATCAGGTCCCTCTCCCATCTCCTGGGCCTGGTCACCAGAGGCCAGAGTTCCTGTCACTGTCCTGAGCTATAATCACCACCCCAGGGAATGGGGTCCCACAGAGCTATGGCTCCCACGTCATCCTGCCTGTCCCAGCTCCACTGGGAACCTTAATAAGCATTGCTTCAGGGCCAGTCACCCAAATCAATTAATGGAATTGTTTGGAGCAGCCAATACAGGGCGATGTGCCAGGACGGAGAGGCTTTTTTTATCAGTAAAATTGGCAAGAAAGTAAGTTTCAGGCTCACGACTTTCAATTCCAGCCTCCTCAAAGAAGTAAATTGATTTTTCCCCAACTGAAGATACTTAATCTTGAGACTTTAACATTTCTGTACAAGAAAAATGTATATAGGTATATATAAAAATATCTATCAATTTCAAAGGGAGCTGAATCCCAGGGAACGTGTGCAGAGAGGCAGCGGCAATGTGATTCCATGCGAGACCTTGGGTATTTTCCATGGTGGAAAGGAAACCTTTCCTCAAATCAATTGGCTTGCTTATCCCTGGGTGTGGAGGCTTTGGCCTTATCAGATCCACATACTTGAGCAGTTAATCATGTCTGTGGGATTATTTCCGTGGGGACCAGGCGGCCTCCCTGAGTCTGCTGCCTCGGCCTGCCATTGCAGTCCACCTTGCCTGGATAGACTCACTGACCCTCCAGTCCTGCAGTAACCCCTGCTGTTGGTGCCTGCCCCAAGGCTTTTGTGTGTGTGTGCAGGGGCGGGGGCAGGGGGGCAGGCTGCTGTCTGGCCGGTGCAGAGGAGGGGAGGGCTGCAGGCTGGGGATGGAGGCAGCCGGAGGGGGTCACCTCTGCTGCTTGGACTCTAGTGTCACGCCAACCTGGGTTCAAAGGCCAGCTCCTTCTGCAACCACAGGCCAGTGACGTCCCATCTCTGAGCCTCATTTTCCACATCTGTAAAATGGGCGGTAGCTGAGCACAGAGCTCGGTCCCTACGAAGTGCCGGACGAGTGGCTGGCATCACATTATTTCTCTCGAAGGCTCTGTTCTCTCATTTGGAAACTAGGGATAATCATTTCTACAGTGCAGAGTTTCTACAGAAATTAAATGACACAATGCCCGGGGTAGAAAACCCCAGTGCTGACAGGGGCGGGGGGGGTGGGGGGAGCCATAAATACGGAAGGAGGGAGCGCTGAGTGGGATTCTGAGAGCCTGGGAAAGCTACTGCCTCTTGGCTCCCACAACTCTTGTTCCGCGGGTGAGCAGCTCAGTGATGCCAGATCCTTCACATTTTCAAGAAGCTGGAAATGTGAATATTTTAAATGCAAAAATCTCTCCATTTTAAAATGCTGGCAACTCACACAAGAAAATGTAAGCAGTGTATGGTCCCCAAAACCGTGTCTGGGGGCTGAGCAGGCCTGTGTACCACCACTTTCAACAACAAAACCATAAGAATGGTTAGCACTTCTTACAGCGTGTACTCTGTGTCAGGTGCTCGCTGTGACTCTGTTACGCCGTCTCCGTGAATTATCCCACTTCGTCATCTCGATAACTCTGCGAGGGGGGTTCTATTATCAGCCCCGTTCCATAGAAAGGCCCAGAGCGGTCCTCGAGTGTTCAGTCACTTCCTCTCACCACGGGCCAAGCCCCGCACCTGTCCCTGCTCCTCGGCCTGCCCTCTCGGGGTCTCTTCTATTCTGAGGGTCTTGGGGCTCCTCCCGAGTTCTTAGCTCTGAGCAGAGGCCGATGGCCACCCTGTGAGAGGCACCAAGGTCCTTCCCAAAGCCCATGGTCCCCCATCTGGAGTGACTTGGAGAAAGGGGGATTCTCCAGGTGTCCCTTGGCTGGTCCCTCTCCAAAGTGCTCTGGTTAAGTCCTCTGGGGACTACAAGGCAAAAGAAGAAAAGGGTCCAGCCTGCTTCCTAGTCTTCTGGGTCCACCAGCTGAAGAGGCGTCTGACTCGAGTGCACCTGTGTGCCCGGCGTTGGGCTAACCACCATATGCCCAGGAGTGCACTGAGTCCTCTTGCTGACTGCCGCGTACGGGGAACCCGTATCTGTGTCATACAGGGGAACAAATTGAGGCTGGGAGAAATAAAGGGACTTACCCCAGGTCACCCAGCAGAGCCAACACCCAGGACTCAAGTCCTGGTCTGTCTGACTTTTAAGACCAGGGTGACCTGACCGTGCCAGGCTGCACGACACTGAATCCTGCCTGGCCCCTGTGTTTTGGGGGCCCTGCTTCTGCTTGAAGGCAGGGCTCTGATTCTAGACCAGCCAGCAGATGGGCCAGGAGAAACTGGAGGCTGAGATGGGGTGAGCCTTCCAGCTCATGGAAGAGTCGGCCGAGCGGCTGGAAGATGGGGCGTTGGATGGAAGGCCTCTCCAGGCTCCATCGCTAGGGCCAGAAAAGGCTGTGCAAGGGGGTGGGGGGCTTGACAAAGCTGGAGCCCCGGAGAGCCTGGGATCCTTGGGCCCCAGCTCTGGTCTCTTCCCTGAGTGGGTGTCCGTCACCCACAGTCCCTCCTGCCGTGACGGGCCCCCCCCCCCCACCGCAACACGGAAGGGGGCTATAAATTCTTGGAGAAGCCGTCTTCATACAGCCTGGCTCCCTTCAAAGCTGCCCAGTGAACACGCTTCCTCAGTGTTCTCCTTTACATTTGCCTACATATTTTTACAGCCATACAGTGCTTTCAAAGACTTCCTTTTTCATCTCCTAATTAATTTTTATCTTCCCAGACAGAGGGAGGACAGCACGGGAGATGCTGTTTGTGAGGTCTGCCGCTCCCCGACAACTCTTCAAGTGAAATTTCCTTCAGAGCGCCGGGCCGCCTGGAGCTGTGCGTCTCCCGGGCTGCAGGGTGGGCGCGAGGGCTCCGGCCAGACCACCGGGGTTCCGATCCCAGCTCGGCATTTCACTAGCTCTCCATCTTAGGTAAGTCCGTGTGAACTCAGGTCACTTTGGAGCCTACCTTCCTCAGATGTCGGATGGAGATGAATGATAATAATGGTTTCTGCGGTCTGGGGTTGCTGTGAGGATGACATGCATGAATGCAGGTCAAGTGCCCGAACGTGGCCAGCACCGAGTAAGTGCTCGACAAATGTTACTACTACCGTTGACCTGGCCAGTGTCTCCTAGATATCCTGTGGCTACACCTGAAGCTGGTCCCTGTTCAAGCTTAGTGCCACATCCACTCATGGGCAGGGGGGAAGACTAGCCCTCCAGAAGACCCTAGAGTGGGTGTGGGGGAGGGCGCTGCGTGTGCACACAGAATTATCTGACCTCGCGTCGTGCTTCCACCACCGATCTGCTGTGTGATCATGGGCAAATCACCCACCCTCTCTGTTTCTCCAGGTTCAACTCAGGTTTCCTTCCAGCTCTAACTTGAAAGTGATAATGAGGAGGCTACCACCTCATGAGGGAGAGGAGTGGGGACTGGGAAGGGGACGTGTGACTGGAAAGCCCAGCTATGGAGGGTGGGGGCTGGTAGGGTGGGGAGGAAGGAAGCTTGTCTGGGGAACTTCTGGGCGGGTGTTGTGCTTCCAGCTCATGATCTGAGGTGGGGTTAATATCGCCACATTCAAGCTCCTCTCTGCCTGCAACGCGGTCCCATTGCTGCTGTCAGTGATAAGGGAGCCTGAGCTAGAAGAGCTTCCCTCGAATTCAAGCAGGAGACAATGTCGCCAGATGTCCAAGGGGATTAACTGGTGATCAGGAGAGCGGGAAAGCAGGGTTGGTTCTGCAAGGGGATGCGGAGTTGCTGTTTCTGGCCAGGAGCCCTTGTAAGCATGGGCCCCGGGGCCCCGGCATCCCAGCTGGGTGACAGCATGGGTGTCCCTCCTCTGCCCTCCGGGCTGCACAGTATGCAGGGAAGGTGCGTGAGGGCGGAACAGGCTGCTGGAGGCGCTGCTTGATGCTGAAGACAGCAGTGCGGTGGGGGCTGGAACCAGGCTCTTGGAAGCCAATCTGAGCATCTTAGCGTGGAGGGAGGCAAGGGCATCCAATCCGCGTCAATGAGCCTGCACCAGGCTTATTTATGCCGCTTCCCTTTGATCGGGAGCCCTGCTTCGAGATGGGCTCATGTGTAATGCATGAGACGCTCTGGCACAGTCAGAGGGCTGGGCCACAGCCTGGGGACAGGTACGAGCAGGCGCACTTGCAGCAGCGTGAGCACCTACCCCCCCCCCCACGAACCATTGCACATGCAGACACATGCACGCAGGGGCCATCACACACATACAAGCTACACATAGAGATGCATGGCCTATGACACACACGGATGCCCATCCCCCAGGCTCACTTGTCTAGATACGCCCGTGGGGACATTCAGGCAGATAGACACACGTATAATCTCCATGCACATATACACAGAACCTATATACACACAAAGGCACATATCCACATGCCTGGAGCACAGGGATGCGCGCACACACGTGCTTTGCCAGCACACGTACAGATTTTTGCAAATACTCCTGCCCAAGCACAAAGACACACATACACCCGCACAGGTAGACTTTGTACATGGGCCCCTGTGTGTACACATACACACCTAAATGCATGTTTCTGTGGATTATATACTGTCACACACACACACACACGCACACAGGCATCCCCTGCACACACACTCACGAACACATACCCAGGGTCCCAGAGGGCTCCTACCATGCCTATCACAATGCTTCTATCCGCCCCGAATGCATGACAGTGACCTCTCAGGAAGGCCACATTGGCCACTTCTTGGTGGTAACAGCAATACCACAGGAGGGGAGACCTTTTCCTCTCTCTCTCCTCCTCACTAAACATCTGCTTCCACCCTCAAGGAGGGTCCCAGGGAGGCCAGGGGAGGGGAGAGTGCTGGAGAGGCTCCGGTGCGCAGGAGGGAGAGGCTTTCCCTCCCAATCCTTTGCTGCCCTCCCCTTGCCTCCTTCAGGCCCGGCTGGAGGCTCAGTCCATCCCTCCGAGGCTTAGCCTGGAAGGAGACCAGAGCTGGGGGATGTGGAACCAGGGCCCAGGCTTCCAAGTGACTAATAAATAAATGGATGAATGGACCTACGGCCCCCAAGTTCCCGATCCTGACCATTTTGGAGAAACCATGAGAGCAGAGGTTCTCAGTGTGGCCCAGGGACCAGCAGCACCAGCACCTGGGAACTCACTAGAAATGTGCATTCTTGGCCCTGCCCCAGACCTACTAACCCAGAGGGTGGGGCCCAGGAATCTGGGTTTTCCCAAGCCTCCCAGGTGATAGGGATGCACACTCAAGTCTGAGTGTGGCCTAGAACATGGTCTTTTGGAGGAAGGCAGACCTGGGCCCTTCAGCTGTGAGTTCTTGGACAACCTGCTTCATCACTCTGAGCCTCAGTTTCCACATGTGTAAAGTGGAAATAATCGTAGTGCCTACCTCACAGGACTGGTCATGAAGATTCAGTGAGGCCAAAGCCATTAGTCTGGCCCACTGTGAGCTCTTGGTGGTGGTAGCTCCTGTGACTTTTACATTCATTTCCAGAAGGACATTTACCGGTTCTCAGGGTCCATCAGTGGGTTAGGAAAACCCTAGCTACTCTAGTAGGTGAAAACCTTGGGAAACTGAGCCAACACCCTACAAAGCAGGAGGAGGAGGAGAGCCCTGGCCAGATCCCCATCAGAACAGCTACCTGAGCAGGTGACGAGGGCTTTATCTGGACACCAGTGGTCTAAGAGTGTAACGTGCGAAGAAATGTTCATAAACGCTTGGTCAAGTTTTAACCTCCTCCCTGCCTTGAAGGATGTGCTCCTTGCTACCCTCTCAGTAGTGGAGAGCTCATGGCCAAGGGCAGGCCAGGCTCTTGGGACATGGATGCCACAGAGACCTTAAGTCAAGGGCAGGGAGCCCCCTGGCCCCCACAACTGTTTGTGTGTCTGGGCCACGCTTCTCCTTCTCCCTTTTCCAGCCTCATCCTTCCACCTGCCATCCTCTGAGGATTGAAGAAAACAGCACATTTACCCTGCTTGTCCCAGGTATGAAGATGTGTAGGATCTGTGCCGGGACCAACTCAGGTGGCCACATCCTCATCAAAGTTCCCCAAAGCCAACTGGTCTCAAACAGGGAGGGATGGCCTGAGCCTTGGGGATTCCTGGCCCATTGATGCTGTGAAGTTAGGGATGGAGAGCGAAGGGTGTGGGAGGGTCAGCTCATGGTGCTGCAAGGGAGGGAGAGGGTCTCACCTTGAAGAAGGTCATGGTGGCCCCGTCCTTGACAGCCCCATACTCGATTTTGGTTTGCTTGGCCAGGTCATCAGCAGAGTCGATGGGCGATTCCATGCGCTCCACAGTCAGAAAGGCAGCCAGGTTGGCCGTGTAGGAGGAGATGATGATGAGCGTGAAGAACCACCAGATGCCCCCGATGATGCGTGTGGACAGGGCTTTGGGCATCAGTTCAGACCCTGGGAGAATGGAGAAGGCAGGTGGTCCCTGACACGGTCTAGGGCTGCTCAGGCCCCTCTGGGTCACAGACTCCACTGATAATCTAGTAACAGCTTGGCAGATGTTCTCAATGTGCCCCCCGGACCACCAGCAGCAGCAGAAGCACATCCTGGGAACTTGTTAGCAATGCACATTCTCAGGACCCTCCCCAGGCTCTACTGAATCCATCACTTGAGGGGTGGGGCCCAGCAATCTGGGTTTGGGAAGCCCTCCAGGTGGTTCCGATGCAGGCTAAAATTTAAGAACCACTGCTCTAGAACGACACGCACATTTCACAGGCTTGTCAGCCCCTGCCGTCCCCGGTTTGGAATGGGTGGCAGTAGAAACTCCGGGGCTCTGGAGTGAATCCTGCTCCCAACTCTGTGTGATTGTGCCAGACGCTTTCCCTCTCTGGGACCCTGCAAAGCCTGGAGACTGGTCCTTCCTCTGTCCCAGCCTCACACAAATACCGTGAGGCCGCAGCGATATAATTGCAGGAGAAAGTGTGTTGCAGATACAAGCAGTATACAAACACAAGATTGCCTGCTGGTGCTTTGCTGGAGGAGAAAAATCAACATTGTTTGAAGCTCGTTGCCGAAATAGATCCCTCTTCCTCCCCGACCTTGGGTGTGGAGCACAATTTAGATGAAACCTTCTAACTGAAGTAATTAACTAGGCGGCTTTCAAGAGATTTAAATAGCAAGTGACTCCTGAACTTCCCAGAATATTTGGACCTGCAATCTGGAAAGTGTCTGCTTTGATATGGATGACACTCAAAGGAGAGTTTTTCAAATACATAACTATTTTTCTCCCTCCTAATCAAAACCGGTGGGGGAATGCATCAGGAGCCGGGGCTTTGAATAGCAGCCGGGGGAGGGCGAGGAGAAGCGATTATTGCAATGGGGGGCTTCCAGGTCTCTCCCAACTGTCACTGAGAAAGGATAATGGACAAAGAAGCAAGGTGAGGCTTCCGGACACTCATTAATAGCGGGGACAGAAAGAGGCACTTCTGCTGAAAGCCGCCTGTGGCTTCCCAGCTCTGGAGACCACTGAGGCTCCCCAGGCGCCCCTCCCCACCCGGCCACAAGCAACCCCATCTACCTGCTCCTCCCAACCCCGCCAGATTGCTCCAACCTAGGGCAAGAGCTGCCCCTCCAAGGGGAGAATGACTTGTTTTCCTGGTGGACTGTGCCAGGCTCTGCTGGATCCCTATCCAGACCCCTGCACTGGCCTCTGTCGTGGCTGGGAGATCGCTGGAGTTGGGGGCAGATTTCTCTCCCTTCTTCCTCCTTCATTTAAGCGCCCAGCACAGGGCTTGGCACGTAGTGGTCACTCAGGACACGCTGGGATAATAGCATTCATTTGGCATTTGCTGACGGATGTCTACTGAGGGCCAGGGTTTGGACTGGGCCTTGAGAACACACACAGGTGAGTGAGGGACAGGGAATTCTTTGCCCCCTGGATCCCCTTCCCTTCCTTGCCTCCTTGTCACCCACTGCCCCTTAGTGGGATCCTAACATAGGCAGAGACTTTGGTTCCATCCCCATCCCTCCATCCCATTCCTTGAGTTAAGAGGCTCTGGACATACGACTCGACAGGCAGAGACAACGAGCTCGTGGCTCCTGGCCAGCAAGGCTGGGGAGAGGGGTCCTCCTTGGTGGTGGTGGGGGGGCTCCTCTCCCGCCACCTGCCCTTCAGCCCATGGTGTCTCTGCAGCCAGTGAGGGTGCTCTGCTTTCTGAGACATTTGAGCAACTGCAGATCTGGCCACAGGGTGGGCCACCAGGCCAGGGTCAGGTGCAACATACTGGCCCTCCCTCTAGAGGATGTAAGAAAATGCTGTCCTTCTGTGCATACCATCCCTGATGCACTCACCACCTGGAACATGACCCTTCTCACTCCCAAGCTCCCCACGGCCAGATGGTCACCAAGTCCCGTCCCTGCTACATCCTGAAGTTCTCAGAGTCCATCTCTGTCCTCTACCCCCATGGCCATGACCCCAGTTCAGGTCTCATCCTCTCATTTCTGCAATGGCCTCCCACCCAGCCTCCCTGCCTCCAGTCTCCCCCGTCCTCCGCTCAACTTGAGCCAGCCAGCGTCTAAGGTGATGGGGCCATCAGTGGGGTTGGCCCCAGCAAGAAGGAGGCCGTATGTCCACTGCAACTGCAGCAGGAGAGGTTAGGGATGAGCCCTGCATGTCATGGGTGGGATGGCCTCTCTGCTTTAGCCTCAGACCCTGAGCCAGTCCAGCCACAGGACTGGTGGAGGACAGGGACCTGGGACAAGGATACATGCCTGAGTCTCCAGGTGTCTCCAACCTGCTGGCAGCTCTGCAGGTCTGAGGCTGCCCTGGAGGCTCAAGAGAGGAGGCACCCCCGTCCCCGCCCCTGAGAGGAGAGCCTTGGGGAGACAAGGCACCTACCTTGCTGCATCAAGGACCCCATCCCGAACCAGAAGCTGTTTAGCAGAGTGAAGTTGTTTTCCACCACCTCGGAGCCGGGATTGCAAGGATGAGCGTCATACCACTCGTAAGGGCTGAACCTGCAGCAGGGAGAGGGGAGCGGTGGGCGGAGCTGTGGGGAGCCGGCAGGGAAGGGGCACCCATGCTTCAGGGAGCTGCCTGCTTAGCAAACATTGATGTGCTGTCACTTCAGTACCAATTTACTTAGCGTTCTGCTGGGGAGGCCGGGAATGGGAAACCAGGGCCATTTTGCTTCTTGTTCTTTATTGTTAGTGCCCTTTTCTGGTTGTAAAAGTAATTCAGCAGTATCTCTTAAAATTAAAAGCGCACATGCCCTTCAACCTAGCAATTCTGCAACTCATTATCCAGCCTAGAAAAAACACCCGTACATGAGCATAAAGAGAAGCGCAAGGGTGTTTATCAAAGCATTGTTTGTAATAGCTAAAAACTGGAAACAGCCTCAATGTCCTTCAACAGAAAAATGATTAAGTAAACTCCGTCAGAAGCCTGTTCCGCAATGTCACACGGCTCAGAGAAGAGAATGAGAGATGGCTGGATGTCCTGACAGGGGAAGATCTTCCACCCCATACTGTTTGGTTTTAAAAAAAAAAAAAGTGATAAAAAATAAGAACAATATGATCACGTTTATATAGATAGATTCCTAAAGATACAGCTCTATGCCTCTTTACGGACGTGTGTATACAAATGTGTTGGAAGGGTCTGGAAAGATTCCTACCTAAAAGATATCAGCAGCATTTACCTCTGGGGAGGGGAGTTAGGAGGGCGGCAGGAATCTCAGGGCAGCCTGTTGCTTTAGGTGGATTAGATGAATTTTTTAAAAAATGAGAATGGGCTTTTCAATTACTTGTACACTTAAAATGGAAAAAAAGCAAAACATACACTTTATAAAATATTCAAACAGTATAGAAGAATACAATGAAAAAGCGAAAGTACTCCAGGATCCCACCCCCGGAGAGAACAATGTGTTACATAATTGTTCAGATTTTTCTCTCTGAATATACAAATACCTGTATGACAGGGAAAAATTGTTACTTAAAGCCCCCCACTGCCTTCTAAGGAAGACAAGCCCTGATAACCGGAGGGATCTTTGTTTGCTGCATGAATCCCAGGTGAGGCCATGTAAGCCGGAGGAAGCTAGCACACTCTGGGGAGATTGGGAGACCCTGGAGAGAGCCCCTGAGAGGCTGGCGTGGCTGGCGTGGGGTAGGATGCTGAGATGAGAGGCCCAGAAGGAGAGGCACGTCCAGTGGCATTTTGTTTTGTTTTTAAATGTATGATATACTTTAAGTATGATGTTGTGACTTGTCCATCCCCCTTTTAAAAGCTTTAATAAATTATACATTGATCACCAAAGCTCGCATGAGAAGAATTTTGCTTTCACAAAGTGGGAAGATCCTACACATACGAAATTTTAAAGTGAGGCTTCAAACCAAGACGGGGATATTCAAAGGGAATGACCATGAACTGGCTAGAGGCTCTACAAATCCACAAGGAAGAGATAAAGGTTGAAGGGAGGAGAGGCGGAGACTGCTCCGGGAAGCTTCCGGAGAAAGCCTCGGGAGAGCGATGCATTCAGCGGTCCCCGCATGCCTCCTGGGAAGTCCTGGGAGAAGGGTGTCCACGGGACTGCTGAGGGAGCTGGCAGGCGGCTCTGTAACGAGGTGGGCCCATCTGGGGGTCTGGAGGGCAGGGGTCGGGCTGATGCATGCCTCCCAGGTGCATGCAGGACGGGGAGTCCCTGCTGCAGGGTATTGGCCTGCACACCCAGACGCAGCCAGGTATAAGGACACTGGGCCAAAAGTGTTTCCCTGGACCGGATGGGCCCAAGCAGAAAAGAGATCCAGCCCAACTCCACCCTAAGTCCTATCCGAGAAGGGCAACAGGACTGCGAACGGGGAGAGGCCATGGGGCAGGGGCTGCTGGGGGGCCAGGTGCTGATCAGGGGAGCACGCTGACCTGGGGAGCAGGCCAACCAGTGGTCTGATGTATGAACAAAGGTAGAAATGTCAAGGACTCTACTGGACTCAACCTTCTCATTTCTGAATTGAAACAGCGTTTGTGATTAGAGAGACACCCGGGGTTCCTGTGACCTGGAAATGAGCCAAAAAGTGACAGACCCCGGCCGAGCCTTCACGGGGCAAGGAGAGCCTCAGCTCTGAGCACACTGGAATAGCGGGGAGACACAGTAAAGATGATTTTGGATGAGACCTCACAAGTCCTGCGTGGCTTACACACATCCGCGAAAACTGTGGTCGTTTTTAAACGCAGGAAAGTATCATACCATAGTGCTACCTAGAACTTGGACTTTTCCCTTAATAAGCCACCAGACTCTTTCCAGATGGGTTCTTCCGGATCTGCCTTACTCTCTGCAACTACTTCAGAGGTGTTTTCAACCACTCCTCTGTCGCTGGTGCTTGGCCTGTCCCCATACCCCACTGTTGCACACTCTGCTGGAAGAAACAGCCCTGGGGACACCACTATGGGCACCCATGCCGAAGGGCCACCCTCTCTTCTGAGCTGAGGCTTTCTAGATTTGGGGGGACTGTAAAGTGGGGCTCAGCGGTGACTTTCAACAGGATAAACTCCCAGGGGTGGACTTGCTTCTCATGATCGAACTACTTTGCTCTAGAATAGGCCTCTTGGTCATCAAGTACTGTAAGGGGCCCGGCTCCTCGCTACCCTTTGAGGTGGACAGTGCAATGGGGGCCCATTTTACAGATGGGGAGGTGGTTTGGAGCAGGCAGGGGAGGGCGCCCCTGCAGTGAGGGAGCTGGAGGGTCCAGATTCTAACCCCCAGGCCACAGGAGAGAACAGGAGGAGGATGGACGCTGAACAGTAAGGAAGGTGCCACCCAAGTCAGCGATGGATCTTGGATTAATGGCTCGCAGCTGCAAAGGACTGTCACAGTCTCGCACTTAGGTAGGAGCTAGTGGAGGCTGACCTAGGGATACTCGGTCTGCATTCATGGGAGAAGCTGAAGTCCAGCCCCAGTGATGGAGGTGTAGATGGAGCACTGGCTGGCCGGGACCATCTCTTCCCTGGGATGCTCATCGGCACCAGATGTGACCGGAAGGTGACTCCCAGGAGCTGGACTGGCTGGCAGCTCACCCTCAGTCTTGCCTCTGGGATCAGGCATTTAGGATTATCTTCTTGCCACGAGTGTCAACTATCCTGCTCTCCATGGTGAGAGCGCACCCTCTCTCCCTTCTTCTCTCCTTCTACCTCTCCAGGCATAAAGCAAGACTATCCTGGTGGCAGAGAAAGGCCTTGGTCAATGCGTGGACTCCCGGTGCTAGACAGACACAGGCCAGACCAGGCCAGTTTGCAGGACAGACAGCCCTGTAACGTGCCACAGCTTCCCTGCAGGGGGCCCGGGGCCCTGCCCACGCTTTGGCGACCCCATCTCTTGGGCAGCGGTGTCTAGCTCTCCAGCCGCCAGCCTGGAGCGGTCTGAAGGACACAGGCCACATGGAGGGGGCACAGAGGGCCACAGCCACCCTGGAGATGTGCCCTGCTTGACCTTGACAGTGTTGGAAAAAAATGGACTTAGTGGCTACCTATAAAAGCCACGAAGTGTCACATAAAAAACCTGAGTCTCTCTCTAAACACCAGGAACGTGGCAGCGCCGGCCCCGCATGCCTGCCTAGCGCAGTCTCCATCCAGCCGTACGGTCTCTCCCCCTCCCTGCTCCCCTCCCTCACGCTTCCTGTCCGGCCCCGCGGGCGCCGGGGTTTGCCACCCTGATTTAAAATGAACAGCTCTTGCTCGGGCGTCCGACTCCGGAAGAGAAAGCTTTCTGACGTTGGGCACTGGCTGAGCCTCCCCTCCCTGAGCCTCATCTGCTGCTTCTGCGAAGTGGGGAGAGTTATCCCCACCTCACAGGACCTTTGTAAGGATCAGGCAGGGTGCGTGTGAATTATGTGAGTGTTACATAATGTGGTAATTGTACTGTGACGCTGCTCATGGCCCTGTGGCCAGGTCCCTTGTCCCTCTCCTGTCCCCCTCAGGTGTCCTGTGTCATTTGCAGCAGCTGCAAAAGTCCCATCTCTCTTCCAGAAAGTCTCCCTGGCCTAACCTGGTGAAGGGGGTCCCTCACCTTCCCTGCCAGGAGGCAGGAGGCGAAAAGCAGGCTGAAAGGCCAGGGGTCGGAGGGGGACTGGGCGTACATCGGAGTCATGCTGGAGAAGCTGGAGCTGTTTTCCAGGGGGCAGGGAGCCCAGAGTGGGCTGGATCTGCTAAAATTACGGCAAGAGCTCTGGAGAGTGGCTCCTGCTTTCAAAGGCTTGTTAGGCCATTACAGGAAGAGGCGTAATGCGGGCTGGGCTGCCGGCTGGGGGCGGGGGAGGGCGGGCAGGCGTCACCCGCCAGCTGGCAGCCGAGGATTTCCGAGGCAGGACAATTTCCTCCCTCACATCCTTCCCTTTGGTCTCTCTCTGTGTGGGAAGAGGGAGCGAAAGGGAGCAGGGTGGGAGGAAGGCTTTCAAAGAAGACTCAGGAGGAAAAAAAGCCCAAACACGAAGTCCTTGGATCTCAAATCGCCTCTCCAGAGAAGTCTCTCTTCGCACCTTGTTAGGATTTAGAGAAAAAGAACCGGGGCAGGGGATGGGGCTGGAGCCTGGAAGGAGGGGGCAGAGGGCCTAGGGACCAGGAGCCACTCTCTTGGGGCCAGGGCAAAGGACAAACGTCCAGGTGGCCAGAAATGTGGATTACAGATAGAACCCTAGGTGATGAGAGTTCAAATGCCGGTCACTTGTTGCTAGGATGGCCTCGGTGAGCCTCAGATGTCTCCCCTTCGTGGGGCTGGGGCCTGAGAGAATTAGGTCACATAATGCCTGTAAAGCACAGAGCATGGTGCTTGGCAAACACCAGGTGCTTGGCAAACACCAGGTGCTCAGCAAACACCGAGCTAAACCTGTGCCCTAGTGAGCTCCTCCTACCATCCCCCAGCAAGTATGTGCTGTGTCTCCGTGCGAACGACCGAACAAGCAAGGGGGTTGCCAGCCTGTGTTATGGACAGGGATGTACGTGCCAAGTTTTCACACGTGTGCACATGTGTGTTTAATGTACGTGCCAAGTTTTCACACATGCACACGTGTGTGTTCACATGGCACAATTCCTCCTGTTGTGTGGACTGGGTGGACGCAGTCTGTTTTCCAAATTTCAGTCCACTCGCTGGACCATTCAATGCACCTAAGTCTGTTGTCCTGGGTGCCTGGCCCAGGTGGTGCAGCTCTGGGCCATGACTTAACCTCTCCAAGCCTGCTCACAGGGCCTGGGATACGACGGCTGCCTCCTGGTCGTGGGCACAGACCAGGTGAAGGCCTGGGGGATTCAAGCTCACAGGGTGGGGGGGGCTACGGAATGTTCCTCGAAGGATATAAAGGGATCTGAGCCTCAGTGAGGGAGAGAGGAGCAGGCACAGCAGTGGCCTGAACCTTGGCATGGCTAAGGACTGACGAGGTGGGGGCCAGTCTGGCTCCCGGAAACCCCAACCTTGGGCCAGAGCTCTGGCCAAGGCATGGCCCTTACCTGGCAATTACAAAGAGGACACAGCTGACCCCCAGGTAGGCGAGGAGCACATACATCCAGATGTCTGGGGACAGGGGGTTGAGGAAGGAGAAGACACTGGGGTTGGTGCCATTGGGCTTTCGATACAGGATGCTCACACCGAGTGTCATGAAGGGCTTGGAAAAGTCGATGGCCTTCTCGCGGACATGGGTGATGGTCAGGGGGGCCACGGCCAGATCTGCCTTCTGCAATGAGAGAGACACACACAGACAGACATGAGTAAAGCCTCAGACTAGCAGGGGGAAGGCACCTCATCTTGGAGGAGGGGAGGGAAGGGAGTGGAGTCCGTTTCCAGAGCCTTGGGGTCACTTGACCACAATGTTTACAAATCCTTCCCCTGTGCCAGGCCACGCCCAACATGCTGCGAAGACAGCGATGAATTAGACAGAACCCCTGTTCTCCAAGAGCTCATGGCCTTCAGGAAGAGGACAGCGATATCAACATCCAGAGAGTGGAATCCTATGAAAGTTATACCCATGTGGTTCATTCTCAAAATGGTGCTCTGTCAGATAGATACAGTTCAGCAATCTACAAACATTTAAAAATAGCTCATGTTCTTTATTGGTGACTTTCAAACATCATGAAGAGGACACAGAATCCAGAACAAACCTTATTTGATTCTGCTTTCCTCTCCTATCCGCTTCTTGACTGCTTTTCCTGTTCTGGATATTCTGTACATCCTAAAGGCCTCAAAATCCAGTTGGGCAAAAATAATGTCCTCTTTGGAGGCAGAGGGGAGTCCAGAGCCCTCTTCAATAGGTGAAGGGAGGGAAGAGGCCAAAGAAGAGGAAGAAAGGAAGGAGGTGGGGAAGGCTAGGAATATTCCTGTGCTGGTCAATTTTAGCTCATCACAATTTTAATGAGGGTCATAATTAAAGGTCTATTATTTCTATTATCTCCTTGGTCTGAGCTTTTCTTGATTAACAATCTGTAAGCCCTCATTCCCATTTTTCCAGCCTCCTCCCTACTGCTCTCCTGCTCCATGAGGCCCCATTTAACTGCTTCCTGTTTCCCACATTCCCTTTTTCACCTCCGTGCTTTGCACATCTTGCCCTATTGAGAATGCCCTCTCTCTGTTGGCTCTTACTACCTTCTGTATTTCTTTGCACATGCTACCACCTCCAAGAAGCCCTCCCTGATAACCTCCAATGCTAAACCCCCATGAAGCTTGCTCTGCCCCATGGTAAGGTCCTAACCTGCTCAGTGTGAATGCAGGATGTGTGACCATGTGACTTTTTGTCTTATCTGCCTATTTACCTGTGACTTCCTAAGTGCAGTCGGGCTGTAGCTGATACACTGCTTTGCTTGTCCATTCCCAAACCCCATCTCAGCCTCTGTAATATTTGTTTGTTAATAGTGTTTCCCTCTGGGAGGGCTCCTGTGGGTATTTACATATCAGAATGTGAACCAAGTTATCACTTCCCTGTCTCGGGGATGGGCAGGATAGAAAGAGAGGTCAGGTCCTAAAGACTAGCAGTAAAGACCCTTTTGCAAAAGTGGGATGGCTGCTTCTGAGACCCTTCCAAGGCAATAGTCTCTAGGCAGCCACCCAATGGCTTGGTCCAGTTTCATTCTTTCTTTCTTTCATTCATTCATTCATTCATTCATTCATTCATTTTATGAGCTCTGCTAAGCACTAGGGATACAGAGCTGAGCCAAGCAGACGTGGTTTCTGCCCCGGGGCTTACAATCTAGTTGGGGAGACGGACATTAATCAAACTGTTTACTAAATGGTAGCTGTTAACACCATCTCTGACTTCACCAATCCTAGAATAGGAACCAGCAACCAAACTGAAGTCCGACTTTAAGGAGGGGAAGCCTGATCTGGGTAGACGGCAGGTGTCCCAGGCTGGAGGCGGGGGGTGCTGGCAAACACACAACCCTGACGTTACAACCCCAATGTTCTTCCTTTTAATGGCAGGCCCTACAGCCGATTATTGACATTCAAAGCCCAAGGGTTCAGGGAACCTTAGGACCTGGGACAGAGAGGGAGGAAGAGCCTATTACAAAGGACGCATCATACTGGGACCTTCCTTTTGTAAATTTCTGAATGTGTGCATTGGAACTTGCCTAGCTTTGAAGGCAGAGAAAGAAGAAATGCCCAGTTGCTGCCACCCTGGCTCCCTGGAGCCTTCAGGGTGTGTACAAATGAATGCAACAAGAGGAGGGCACGATCAGGGAAGGTGCAGAGTGAGTAATGCGCATCTGCTCAATACCTACTGTGCTCCAGTCTGGGGCACAGGGCTGAGCAGGAGACCCAGCTCCTGTTTTTATGGAGCTTCCGGTCAAGTGAGCCCCTGCTGGGAGATATCGATAGGACTCAGTGGGGTGGGGACCAGGGTGGGACATCCCGGAAGGTTCCTTTGATTCCTGAGTTCTAGGATCCTCTATAATGTTGGCATAAGAGGGGGGTAGTGGGCTTTTGATTCTAGATCTTGGCTTCCCCTGGCCCTGTCCCTTCAAAGCACATTGTTCTGGGAGAACCTCAAAGTCAATGGTGTCAATCTTCCTCTGGCTTTGATGGCAAGTTGGATGAAAAGACCAGTGATGGGAGGATCGAGGTATCTGCAGCCATGCTTGTTTCATGAGAAGCAGTCCAGGACTGGTGAGGAAGGGCTGGGGTCCCTTCTTCCCCAGCACCATCTTGGAGCCTTCAGAATCTTCCCACCAGCTTCCTGCTCTCCAGCTCTCACAGGTCAGGAGGTCTCACAGGTCAGAAGGCGGGCGTCTGTGGCCTTCTGTGTCTACAGCAGTGAGTCAGCTGGTCAACCTGCCCTTCTTCATGGGGAGCTTTGATGAGCGTTCTCCCTTGGGCTTTAGGAAGGCTGACGTTCTCCACTTTGATTTTGGTTTAGGCAGGAAACACTACATTTCACCATTTGTTATGATTTCTCTAAAAAAAGACTTTATTTTGTCCAGCTTTCCTTGAAAGTGTGGAACAGATGTCAAGTCTCTACTGTGTCAGTTCATTACTCAGAATGAAAGGCCCAACCTTGGCAGGCTCTTCCCACTTGTGCAAGTTTTCTTTGAGGACAATTCATAAAATCATAGGCTGTCAGAGCTGGATGGGAGACCTTTAGGAACATCTCTTCCAACCCTCTATTTCTTATGGAGGGAAACTGAGGCTCAGAGCTTATCCAAGGCCTTTGCTCTCATATTCACAGTAATCATGTCCTTGAACAAACCAAACCTCTGACTTGTCCAACACATTCATGAGTTTTATGGGTGATTTGTTGGTCCCATCTGCCTGAGGACCTTTCCATACTTTTTCTAAACCTTTAAACTGGGCAGGACAACCCTTCCAGGATCTTACTTCATCCCCCTAAGCAGCTTTCCACTTCCCAAGAATCTGTCAGGACCCACCTGGTACCAGCCTCTCCTATTCTACTCCATACTTGCATGGGGCCACTTGGCGCCATTTGCTCTACCACGTCTCCAGCAACCAGAATGAAGGCAAGAATGACTTAAACAGCTGCAGCTCTATATTTTGGCCCAGAGATCCAGCCATCTTGGCTGCTGGCTGGATACTAGCCTTGTCCCAGAAAGCAAAACCAGGAAAACCTCCTCTCAGATTCTAAGAACAGACTTGTGACCATGGTCCCACTTCAGGCCACTTACCACTTACCACTGATCTCTTAAGCCTGGGGTCCTCCCTGAGGAAAAGATCTGCCCCGGGAACTCCAACTTGATACCAGTGTCTGGTGTCCCTGTTGGCCCCTGCATACTTGCATTCTAGGTATGGTCTCCACCAGATTCCCCATCTCTGTGCTCTGCCTCTTGGTTGGGATTCCCCAGGGTGTCCTGTTGCTCAGACTGGGACCTGCTACAGTTAAAATAGTAAGAACCACAATCATTCCTGGATGAGTCCCATACGCCAAGCTTGGTTAAGGGTGTTACGTATACCACCATATAGGATCCTCCCAGCAGCCCCATGTGGCAGTAAATGTTACCACCGCATTCTAGATGAGGGTCCCATGGGTCCATCAGGCTAGGAGGCTTGTTCAAGCTCTACTGGTTTGGGTGACAAGTGTTGGTGGCATAGTAGTGAGTACAGCTGGTGAATGGCTGGTAAATGGCTGAGCCAATACTTGGACCCACTTCCCCATGACCTCAAACCCCCATGCAAGCCGCATAGAGTGTGTTGAATTGTGCGCCCCCTCCATATGTTTAAATCCTAATCCCTAGTATCTGTGAATGTGACCTTATTTGGAAGTAGGCTCTTTTTCTCCCCCCCCCCCCCGCGCCCACTAAAACAGTCTTTTATTCTTGCCACTGAGATTAAACAGCATCAGATAGATTGTCAGGAGAGTATCTTGGGCTGTGCAAAGGGAGGACACACTCTATCTTCAGTGGGTGTGTTCACCTCCCCAAAGATCGGGCTCTCTCTGGCTCCTGCTGAGTGCCCCCAAATTCATCAGTGTGCTCACAGCCACTCTTGGGCTCGCAGCACCGCGAGTTTTAATGGTGCAATGGCTCTCGGTGGGAGCCTGTGTTCATCTGGTCTCCGAGTGACAGTTCTCCCTCACATGTCCTCAGCAACACTCCCCAAGTGGTTTCAAATTCCCGTAATACCACTGCCGAACAGCCAAAATAAAAAAAAGATACTGATAGTACCCAGTGCTGATGAGGATGCAGAGCAACGCATCTCTCTTAGGCTGTGGGCAGGAGTGTAAAATGGTGCAGCCCCTCAGGTCGCCAGTTATTAGAAAAGACTAGAACTCAGGAGCGGCTGCATGGAAGCAATTTGTCAGGCAAGGAAGGTGGGAAGGGACACGAAATTCCCATGTCCTCTCTCTCTCTCGGGGCACTCCATTCTCCTCACATCTCCACGGGTTCACCAACCCGGAAGCTCCACAAACAGGGTCTTTGCGGAAGTAATCAAGTTAAGATGGAAGTCATACTAGATTAGGCTGAACCCTACATCCTAGGCCTGGGGTCCTTATAAGCAGAGAAGAGGACACACAGGGACACACAGAGAAGGCCTGTGACGCTAGAGACAGAGACCAGAGTGATGCAGGGTCAAGCCAAGGAACACCAAGAATGCTGGCCACACTGGAAGCCAGGAGAGAGGCATGGGACACATTCTCCCTGAAAAGGGACCAACTCTGCCAACACCCTGAAATCTGATTTCTGGCCTCCAGAACTGAGAGAGAAGACTGTTGTTTTAAGCCACCTAGCTTGTGGT